ACTGCAAAGCATAATAGAACAGATATAAACCAGCTGGTGAAACAAACCAATTAAGCACTGCAGAACAGTCATAAGTACTTTATTCTATATATCAGTGATCACAAACAGCTGTGTAGATGACACAACACTGATGTCAAATGAAATTGGCAATCTAATTGCTGTCACATAGAGTTGTCCTTTTCACAGTCTACTTTCCTCTCCAATGAACATAAATTTCACATAAGGAGATAATTCCTTTGCTAGCAAAAGAGATAGAAATTCTGGTAATACTTTGCTTGAGAATGTACCAGGTAATAAGTTGCTGCTGAAATGAATGAACTTACAACAATAGTACTGTATTTCAGTGAACAACTTTAATCCTAAGAAAGAAGTGATCTAAATTTATTTCAGTGGTGCACTTTCAGTAAAGTTTGCAGGTTAGTTTTAAGCTTTGGAATTTTGTCACATATATAGACACAGACATATATATATATACACACACACACACTAATATGTGTATAGACTGAAAAAAAAAATAACAAACAACTTTTAGGCTGTGAAACTGTGAGACACTGTGGCTCATACATTTGATGGGATGCTTTTTGAGGGCAGACAAGACAGCCATGCGCACCAATCTCTACAGCAACTTCTTAACAGTAATTACTGCAGCACTTAGCTGATGCTAGCAAATACTTCCTTGTTGTGGACTCTAAACACTACACATACAAAAATTAGCAGCACTTCTAGTTATCTCAGAGTGAAGGCAGAGCAGGTTTTTATTGCCTGTTGGGGATTACACAGACTTTGCAGTGTGCATTCCCACAGAGCAAGGCTGGGAAAGAGGCTGAGCTGAGCAACATCCTTTTATGTCCAAAACTTGGGGAAACTATGTCACTGAACAGAGCAGATAATTGTCATGCATCTTATTTCCAAAACAGTTATCAATGGCTAAAATCTGCATTATTAAGCATTTGCTCTTAAATGTCTAGTCAGTTTAGACCAGATAACAGAGAATCCATAGCACAGCAAATAATTAAACTAAGATTATCTACTCAGCAAGTTATAGACTAAGCCACTAGAATACTCTGTCTTTTGCTGACTTAAAATGAATGAAGGACATTTCTTTTGCTACTACTGGTTGCTCTTAAAGACAAGAAACACAAGAAATACATTAAATTGTAATGGTTGCTTAGTTTTGGAATAGTTTTCTTGCTATGCACAAATGTCTTTCATTTCTACTTGACAAGTTTGATCAAAATGCATGCAATTACTTTTTATCCCTAAAGGCAAAACAGTGATAATAAGATGTGTAATATATTTTCATCTCTTATGTCATATTAGAAAATTAACGGAAAGAAAATGTGAAAGGCTAGTCATTCCAGGCATACACAGCCCATTAATTAAGTCTGCAGTAGTTGCTTATGTTATTTATGAAAGCCTTATAAGCTCGTATGATGCTGTGCTTTTTGGATGTCATTTTCATTCATTATACCCCAGTGTCCCAGAGTAGTCTAAATTAACCAAGAGCTACTTAAAGGCAAGAACAGGAATACCATTATGATTAACCCTCATTAATTTCAAGTGTAAATACCTCTTTGAGGTACAGGCTCTGTGATATCATGGTAATTTAGCTTTTCACACACTTTGTTGTTTGCTTGCTTCCCTAAGCATGATATAAAATAAATATATAAGAAGAAGAATAATTAGTAACGTTCCCAACTTAACACAACTGCAACATGACTTTATAGCACTGACTTCACCAATTAGATGAGTATCATTTTCCAGTCTGACAACAAATTCAAAACGAAAAAACACATTTCATATGACTGAAAAGCATAGCAAAAGCTCATTGAAAAATCTAAGTAGAGAACAGGAAGGCTCAGTGAAGATTCATAAAATTTCAAAACTACTACATTATCTCAAGCAGCAATTAAGTTATTCAAAACAAAATTAGAACAAGTTAAATTTCACCACACCTTTCAGTTCTCTGAAACTGAGAATGTTACAAAATCTAGATAAAATTGTGACACTCGGTGAATGTATAAGAGAACTGAATAGAGCAGTAAAATAAATTTATAGTTTTCATAACAATTACAATTATCACATAAAATATCACATAAAACTGCATCTATCCAATGTTTAAAGAAGGATCTATTTTTCAGTAATCACAAGGAAATACTATTTAACATTATATAAACCTGTCTATTTATAGAAAAGTCATAGAGAAAAAAAAATCGTTATTTTTTTTTTTGTGAGGCACATTTTATTGTCATGAATGTCATAATTCTTGCTTGGGCTTTTGTTCTCATTGGGCCTAGTAACATACAAAAAAGAAGAACTGATTTCTTTAGTGACAGTGCAATTTTTCCAGATGAAAGAATAGATTTCTTCCCAGTATGGCATATCAGATGCAATATCATTTCTCTTCCCCTTTTCCTAGATCACGTCCATAAGCCAGAGACACAGGAAATTTATTTTATTGGGTTCTAGTCCTTCAAAAACACATCAGGCCTTTTTAACTGAAATCACCTGCTTTAGTAAGATAACACCTTTCTGGTTTTTCTCCTCCATCAACAAAAGAAACAGTGGAAACACAGGTTTCTCTTAAGAAAACTGCCTGGAAAATTTCTCACTATGTTCTATTGAAACAAGCACTTTTCTGATTAGCATTAATAAGAAAAGGTATTGCTTTTTAAGGCAATTTTAAAGACAGAAAACGGAAAATGCAAAATGAGAATTCTTCATGATTAGTCCATTATTTTTTATTCTCTCTCTTAATGATTGGACTTGTGGCAGAAATTTTGTGGCAGAAATTTTGTGGCAGAATTTGCTACTTAGTTTAGTTTTATCTAAGGTCTCCCTGAAGACAGTAGGGTTAATCCATTTCCCTCAGACCAGTAGGTAATTCTGTGCTTAGAAATACATATTATTTTTCTCGTAAAAGAATAGTTTTAAATAAGTTTCTGTTGGAAAAGTAGAGTAGCATGCTCTGGGATGGTTATTTCCCTGTCCTCAGAAACATGAGAGAAAGTAAGCTGAAAACCACATGAATTGTTTCACTATTAGCAGTCAGCCTCTAGGTTTTTCCTACTTTTTCTTCTGCTCCCCAATAAGTCACGGGGTATATGTTTACCATATGAGATGACAGCCTCTTCCTGGTGGTTGTCACTACACTGGAAGGGAACGTTCCTGACAGTCATCTCTCAAAGTGAAAGGATGAGCAAGATGACTTATCAGTGAACTGCTTTGGGTAGCTCATGAGCAGTGAGGTGAGACCTCTTTCACATCTATGACGTTAACGATAATGTCTTACCTGCCTTGTAGGGAAACCCTGCTAGTGGAGTCATTTGCCTCCGAACCTGTTTCCCTTTAAGAAAAGCATCATAGAATCAGCTGGTAACAAGCAGGATCCACACAGAAAAATACTTCAGAGGTTTAAATACCCAATGCCTTTCTTCCAAACGGCTTCCAGATGCTTCTTTAAGCCCTAAACAAGTATGACACCTAAGAGTACCAGGTGTCCAGGGCTAGGATGCTAAAGAGGTCATGAGCACTTACAGCTCCCACTGACTAGGGGCAGCTGAAGGTGCTTAGCAAGTTTCAGAAAGAGGTTGGCAACTTACAGCAGATTAGAACTACATTCTTTCTGTTTTCTTTCTTATAATGTCATGTTGCTCATAAGATACTTATTGCCTTAATTTGATATCTCCTAACAGCCTTAAATAGTAATTAGCAAAACTGTTCTGCAAAGTAAACAAATAAAAGTTAGACTTTTTAGTAAATAACAGAAGGACAATTGTATGTTAGGATTTAATTATAAGAAAAAAGTTATACTTGGCAGAAGGCATCTGTAATTTGTGATTTCATCATTTTATAAAGATTCTTTTAATGGATTAAAATAACTTCTGGAAGTTTTTTCCCTTATGCTGCCATAAATCACAACTAAACCCAAATCTCTACTTTAAGGAAGATAGCTGTTAGAAATGCAAACAGAAATATGTGAATAGGAATAAGTAAAAGTAATATCATGGTTGTTGCACTTTTTAATAGCCAAAGTAATTCATAAGATGCTTTACATTGCTGTAAAACAAGTTTTCACATCTTTGCAGGTGTTTATATGTACCTCAAGGAATATGAATAAATTCAGATGGTCTTAAAAATAGGAGTATATTATATCCAGATAATCTTAAAAAGTTTTAATCATTATTATATCACTGTAATGAATGGGGAAAAAATGGAGGATTTTGGTTGGTTGTTTTTTGTTTTGGTTTGGTTTTAATTAAATGTCAGAAAGCTTTTGGTCAAGCCTGTGAATCTGTAAATTAGGTAGCTAGATGTACTTTTCTGAGATATATATATAGCTGTAGCAACCAGCCTTAGGAAGAAATAAAAATGAAAGGTTCTTTCATATCTTTCATATAATTTTTGTTTTTTGAACATTGTTTGGTTTTCTTTTTTTCCCCCTCTATGTTAGTTTTGTGAGATTCAATATTAATAATCCGAGAAAAATGTGCATTGTAGAGAGTTTCTACCACACATGCTGATGTGTTGAAGTGACAAACCAGCACTGTAAATCTATATTCGAAATAGGAAAGAACAGTATTATGATCTTGTTGATCACTAGCATAAATATCCATTAGTTCTCAAGCCTAAGAGGACAGAGGTAGCAGGAATCTAATCTTTCCAGAAATATAATTGCTATAATGCCAGAGTATATCTCTTACCTATATATTAAGACTGTGACTTCACAAACTTGAACATTTATAACTAGATGGTATGAATTCAAAGAGCTATTTATAGAAAGCATAGTTTGCATGAAAATGCAGCAAAGAAGTATCAGAAAATGTCATAAAAAACAATTTCTATGTACAAGAAATATAAATCATGTCTATAGACAAAATACCATTTCATATATTTTTGTTTTGTTTTCTAGGGCTATAATGGATGATGAAATATATAAAATGTATAGCAGTTCAGCTATTTCAGTAAGGGAAACACCTCAGGGAACTATTGTGCCAGATTCTCAAATACAGATATGATCCCATTGTGCCACTCAGCTGCTACAAATGAACCATAACCCAGCTGAAAATTGCTGGCAGAGGATTTTCTGTCTTCAGTGAATTCTCTTCTGACATATATATATCATTCCCAGGCAGTATAGTTTTATCTCTTCACTGTGAAAAGGCATATCTCAAGAGTAAGAAAGTTCATGGTATAGTCTTGCTATACTCTTTCTCTAGTGATATAAAAACCCTACCAAAGTTCTGAAGCAGAAGTAGAATTGGACCAAGGAACTCAAAAGAGTTGAGACACGCTCAGACCCTTCATATCTTTTATGCCCTGTGTTGAATCAGTCACAAGTAAAGTAGTTATTCTCTAAGGAATTTTCATTCGTATACTTCCTTTTTTATAAAATTTTAAAATTAAAAATGCATTTTCAGCCAATTTTTGTTTTCAGAATAGTAAAACCACTGCATTTGCTATGCTAGTTACAGAACAAGTGGGACTTTTTTTTTAATATGGGGATTTTCACCAGTAAGATATCTATTTTATCTATCATACAAAGAAAAGGAACATTATTGCAATAAAAATAGGTACGTTCTCTGTAGCTTCGCTATCTTTTCTTATCAGACAATTTACCCTAATGGCTGTTGCCATATGTCTTGTTCTATCTCTCCTCCTTCTTTTGAGATCCCTCTTGTTCCCTTAATGTAAAAACAAACAAAACCCCATGGTCATGTCTATTTGGGTATTACAACTTCTAAACGATGCAGCAAAACTGCCAGTCTCTTGCCAATGGCAGTAGGGCTTCTCTTTAATTAAATAGAAAATGGGATTTTTCTCCCCCTTAAAATAAAGGAAATAAAATTCTGAATAATGTAATTCTCTCTGACATTTCATCATGAATGGATGGAGCTGTTATCCATCCATTAGGAAATAGTAATGTATAAAGCATGACATTTATAGTAAATATAAAGTCTGTAATCATTTGGAATCTAGAATTGTCCATGGTTACAGCTCTACATTAGTGGTAAAAGCTTGCAAAAATAAAAAAGTGAAATCGTTAAAAGCTCATGACAGCATGATAGAACAGATTTTCATTTATTAAATTCAAGAAAGATGTAAATGGTCATGACATTTAACATTGTTGAAAAATAACAGTTATTCAGGTAGGCCAGGATGAAGGTAATTACATTAAAATGCGGTATTGTTTGGCAAAGAAAACAAGGGAATAACTGTGTAGGCTTGAAGTCTATTTATAATGCTCACACGTGTGTGACTCTGTGACCATTGAAGGGCAATGAGCAATTTCTAGATAAAATCTGCATTATTCTCACATTGCAAGAAGAAAACAAAGCTCAAAGAAAGAGAGCAAACAGTATAGTCACTCCAAGAGTGTCAGAGTTAAAAGCAAAGCCTGGAGCCCCTCCAATCTGGGGATAGAGAAAGAGAGTACTTACATCTCATTCATAACTTTAATTCCATAAAAACTGGGGAGCACTGAAGCTTTTTCAAGTGTGTTTGAAATAGTAAAATTCAAGAAAATTGCTTTGCAGAGAACCGTTCATGATACTTTACAGTATAGGAAAATATTTAATAGTCTCTGGAGGAATTAAAAAACTGAAATAGGTCAGGATTTCAAATAAGAGAAGAGGAAACAAAAAGGGAAAAGGAAAGGGAAAGGGAAAGGGAAAGGGAAAGGGAAAGGGAAAGGGAAAGGGAAAGGGAAAGGAAGGATGCAAAATAATAGATACAAAACCAAAGGGTGCAGCACTTTGTGAACAAGTGAGTGAACGCAAAGTACATGATATGTTGTGTTATGGAATTACAAGCATTATGGTGCACTGATGGATGCACATGACACAACTCAGCAATGTACCCATAGAATTGCAAGTAATTTTTTCATATGTCAGAATGTCTTCTAGGCTTGTTTTTTTTTTTTGTGTGTCACAAACTGATAGATTAAATGGAAATGTCTCAAGAAAGGAAAAAAAAATCATCAAATTAATCCAAAGGCCTGTAAAGTTAGTTTGGTTGTATTACTATTTCATATAACTACTGTGAAATGTCTTAATGTACAGGGAGAAATTAGAAGTTTACCTTCAAGAAGTAAATGCTGTAGAAAGTAATGAAGTTATATGTGCCTGGATAAAAAGAGAAAAAAAAAAAAAAAAAAAAAAAAAAAAAAAAAAAAAAAAAAAAAAAAAAAAAAAAAAAAAAAAAAAAAAAAAAAAAAAAAAAAAAAAAAAAAAGAAAAGAAACCCAAAGCAAAAAAACTCTAAATATTGCATGAGTTTAAAATGCATTGCATGCAAAGACAGGTTTTTCAAAATTTATTTTTAAAGATTCTGTATCTTTGAGTTCACCGAAGCACTAAGATATCAAATAAATGTTTGTCGACAGAGAAAAAACCCAAACCTCTAAGATAACTGCTACATATATGAAAAAATTTCTTGATACAGTAGCTAGAGCAAAACTTTCTTTCAAGGTCGTAAATTGCATTTTTAAAAAAAATAAACATATATGCCAATGTATATGTATAAAAAAACCATGAAATATTTTGTAATGAATGTTAATATACAATTTGTTTTCTACGCAAAATAAATTTTTCCTCTCTATGTACAATTTTCCCAGACTACTTTGATTTTAATATTCCACATTCCACAATGTCAAGAGACACAAAGCAAAATGAAAGTCAGTCATAACAGAATACACCTTAAGTATGCTCATGACTAAAAATGCTTATGGTACAAGTCTTCTTAAACAGGAGAACTTTACAGAGAAAACAAAAGCAAAAACGAACAAAAAACTAAGTGAGCCCCTTCCAGTGTATTCTAATATAAAACTGAATAAATAAAAATGTCTGGGTTTAGTCAGAAAAAAAAGAAATAAAGGAGGCCAAGTTACACTTTCAGTGAAGAGTTCTCGGTTATAACACCCTTGTTTTCAACATTCAGGGTTACCCGCAGGAAAAAGAATCCATATCCAGATGACAATTTAGAAAATACTGATCAAAAGTATATTTTGCTTGAAAGTCATCTGAACAAGATGAACTATTTCTATTACACATCCAAGTTACTATCCTTTTGCATAAACCGAGGTTACTGTGTTCCTTCCATCTCTTTAGCTGTGCTGTATATTTACAGGAGTTTAACAAGTAACTGTTTGGTAGCTATTCACCTAATCACAGGTCCCTAGTTGCATCTATGTGTTCACTGGCTATTTACAAAATACATGTATAAAAGAGAAACATAGTTATCTAGAGATGTTTTCTACATGTCTAATGGGGAATGGGAACTGTGCTAGTAAATCAGTTAGACCAGGGGAACATTTTCATATTACTGGTGTGCCCAGACTATCTTTCAAATACCACCTAATCATCTCAGGATTGTTTAAAAGTTTCATTATGATGTTTACAACACCAGGAAAAAAAAAAAAAAAAGCCAAAACAAATAATTTTCTCAAAGCAAAATCCTTTGCAAAATTCCTCAGTTTTGGTGAAACCTTCAATCCACTATTCTGCAGCTTATCTGGAGGGTTAACTCAGTTTCATGACAGTTCCTCCAAAGAATTGCTCGACCTCCTACCAAATAGAACATCATGCAATGAGGGTCCCCATTGCTCTCTGGAGCAATGCACTTTGCAAACTGTTCTGGAGATGGAAAGCTATGTTTCTTCTAACTTAGATATCCTCATTTACTCTGCTGCATCAGAACTACAGATAACAAGGATATGGAAACTCATTCAGCAGATTTTCAAATGAAAAATTATTGTTTGAATTTTCTAGTTGAAGTTTTTAGAGTGGCACAGACCTTAGTTTGACTTCTTGAGAGAAGGATGGTTTAATTTCTTACTAATGTGCATTGAAGATTATAGTTTTATGTCTAAAAGCAGCATGACATTATATACCGATAAATAATGTACTTCAAAGAAGAAGATATGCCCTAGGATTTATTTGTTTATTTATTGGTCGATTTGCCTACTTTAAGCTAATGATTTGAAGTTGGTGTTTGGAACTTTTAAACTTGAGAAGATAATTTGAAAATGATCACACAGACATTATAGCATCAGAGTGCTCATCTGCATGGTAAGAATTAAATGTACTGGCAGTCATGCTTGAACTGCATCCTTCCCTGGGAGATGTAGAAATATCAAGAGGGAGATGTTTGTTATTCATTCATCTGAGTTTAAAATAAAATGTTTCTGCAATATAATGTGGGTTATGCTTGTGTGTAATAAAAATATTAAAAGAAATTTCACCATGTACAGAAAAATAGGCCTGGGAATATAAAGGATGGAAGCAAAAGATTCTCTGCATAATTCCTTAATTGTGTGTAGAGTTTCTCCAGAGAATCTACATAAAAATTAATACATTAAAACTGTGATCTTTAGTATTGCATTCAAAGTACTTTTTAATTTATTCAAGGTTTGAGATCAGTTCTTGAGTATGTAAGCCTTAGAAGAAAGAATTCCAGTTGTTTGCAAAGAACAGAGTGACAACTGACTGATCAAACTTTCTGGAGCAGCAAAGCTTACAGCTGCTGTCTCCCAAAGGCTACATCTCAGGAGGAGAATTACAGTGCTTTACCATAGTATTTTTAATGTTGTGGATTAAAACCTTGCAATTTTTTACACAGGACATCGAAAAACTCTTCACCCACCTGGTTCCTGGGAGACTAATCAGAGTTGTGTCATTGGGATAATCCTTTTTATTCTTCATTTGAAGTTGCCATTCACTAAAAAGGAGTGAAAAAAGTGTCATGAAGGGAGCTTTCTAAATTTCCAGTGATAAGGTATTTTTACTATTTGTCCTATGATTCCTTGATCTCCTTTTTCTTTGAGTAACCTGAGTGCATTCTCAGGGTCATGGAAGTGCAGCATACCATAAGAAAAAGTGCAAAACAAAATCTTATCAAGTCCAGAGAGACAAAGTGATTCTGGTCCACCTGGCTGAACGTAAATGTTAACAGTTTAAACATCTCTGTCTCACCCATTTACATATATTTACATATATCCCTTCTACATTCAGTGGAGATAAACAGGTAAGTCTAAGGTATGATTCATATATCATCTTGAGTAGAAGTTTAAAATGCATGTAATGTTGTTACCTGACGTATTTATTTCTTACCACTGATTTTAGAGAGCCCACATACTAAGCTTAGAGAGAAACATCTAGAATGCAAATGTCTAAGGATATGTGATATTAATTCAAAGAATATTAACCAAACTTCTGCAAGAAATTCTAGAAGTATTCCAGTACCATTTAGTACTGAACAAGACCATTTAAAATCAATATGTTAAATGCATTGAGATCTGTCAGTGCTCAAATTTCTCAATAGAGAATGTGGAAACAAAAGACATTGCTTTTTATGACGAGGGCAAAACTGAAGTTAAATGTTGGAGTTTTTGTGCTGGAGACATTTTGACAGCATCCAGCTCTAAATGAAAATGGAACCTCATATAATCTAAATCCAGGATACAGGAACATATGTACATATAGGTAACTATACCATGGGAGTTGAATAGCATGAACTTTGTTACAGTAAAAAGACTTTAGTCTAATAAAATCAAGTATAGATTTATAAGAATATTTTGTGTTACTATTAATGAATTTTTGATTAAATTTTTTGTTGACGTATTTAAGGCAGAAAATAGGCTTAAACACAACAAAATAATCAAACCCTCCGTACGTATTTAGTAGAAATGCTAGTTTTAAATCTGTTCTTGATTCACTATTGTGTTCAAATGTTACATGATCATGTTCCAAGTCAAGTAAATAAAAAAAAACCGTGATCAATGTCAACTAGCAATGAATGCAGAATCAAAAGTGATAAGTATTTATTTTTCATGTCAGCATTATTCAAGATATAATGAAACCATTCAAATTTATATTGCTCTTTAACTGAGTAGTCTTCATGAATATTTCATCAAAAAAAAAGTTTTCCTTTTAAAAACACCTGTTTGAGATTCAATCTCAGGTATATTGCTTTGCTAAACCTTTGTTTATCTGTTTATGTTTGATGGTTATTCCTGATATCTTTAATATTTAAACACAATTTGTGTATAAATATTAGGAAGCCAGGCTTCTTAAAAAAGCAAACAAACAAAAAAACCTCATAAATTGTAAGTCACTCCCCAGTTAAGTTTGTTTGCAAAATTCCTCTGAAAAGAATGAATATAAATCTAGTCCTAATGCTGAATTCACAAGGAAATCTCATTCTGAAGGCAAAATCAGCATGATAATAGTGTGTAAAATACAACGTCATTTGTTTCATATAGTTTTGACTTCATTCAACTGTTGGTCTAAATATGAGAAGTTTTTTAATTTATTCTGTTACCCAACATAGTTTCAGAAACAAATAGTGTGTAAAACTACTGTCATAGCAGATCGTTACTATTCTTATTCAGAGCATGAGTAATTATATTTGCTTAGTAACATGTTTTCAGCTATGAGATTCCTTAAACCAATTGCATATATTTAGAAGTGTGACAATGAGATTCCTGTTACTGAAGTAAAGATTTCCATAAACTAAATATATAAGACCAAACTGATTCTTTAAAAACAGAATAAAACATATGTTCAGTAAAGTGAAGTTCTGGGTCCTATCCTTGGGTTGCAAGCACCCCATACAGGCTTGGGGCAGAGTGGTTGAAAAACTGCCCAGCAGAAAAAGACCTGGGGGTGTTGGTGAACAGGCACTGGAAATGAACCAGCCATGTGCCCAGGTGGCCAAGAAGGCCTGGCCTGTAGCGGAAATATTGTGGCCAGCAGGACAAGGGCAGTGATTGTCCCTCCATACTCAGCACTGGTGAGGTCTCACCTCAAATCTTGTGTTCAGTTTTGGGACCCTCACTAAAAAGACATTGAGGTGCTGGAGCAAGTGCAGAGAAGGGCAATGAGGCCAGTGAAGGGTCTGGACCACAGGTTTTATGAGGATAAGTTGAGTGATCTGGGGTGGTTTAGCCAGGAGAAGAGGAGGCGCAAGGGGACCTTATCACTTTCTATAACTCCTGAATGGAGGTTGTAGCAAGGTGGGGGTCAGCCTCTTCTCCCAGGTGACAAGTGACAGGATGAGAGGAAATGTCCTCGAGTTGTTCCAGGGGAGGTTTAGACTATATGTTAGGAAAAAGTTCTTCACAGAAAGGGTAGTCAGGCATTGACTGATCAGAGAAGTGGTAGAATCACCATTCCCGGAAGTGTTCAAATGCTGTGTGGATGTATCCCTTGGGGACATGGTTTAGTGGTGAACATTAAGGTTAGTTTAATGGTTGGACTCATTATCTTAGAAGTCTTTTCCAAACTTAATGATCCTATGATTCTGATATTTTGGGTCGTGTTAACCCACTTTTTGCTACAAAAGACAGATTTGGTATCATCTGAATTTTCAAGATTGTCACCAGACGTGTTGTGCTTGGAACATTGTTTTAAAACTATTTTCTCAAAAGAAATTCTAAGCTTTCAATTTGAGTATGTGCTTAGATTTTGCAAGGAGTTCTAAAAAAAATTATTTTAGAATAATATCGTGTACCACTGGAAGCTCAGTTGAAAAGTAAAGTATATTTCTTCTCCCTCTTGTGTAAATCTGAAATTTGAAAGTTGTTATGGGATAGCCACGCATTTCTTAGTAATTTCTTAGCAACTTCAGAGCTCTATTGTTACTTTAAGGGGATAGAAACAAAATAATTTGAAATTTTACAATTTTTATTGAAGAAATTACTAAATAAATTATTCATAATATTAGAGATCAGTTATGTATCCTTAGGCACCAGTGTTGTAGACAAGTTAGTCTTCCTAATTTTGTTTCAGATTAAGAAGGGAAAAATGGACACTTATCAAGCAAAATTAATCTGAGATATTTTAAACGTCTACGTTTAGGCAAGATTAATTACGTCCTGGAAATACGACATCTCATTTATTATGTTAACTATTAAGGCACCACAGGGATTTTAACACAGATGTATTTGACTGATTAATTTCTCCTCCTTTGCATCAATATAATATGTTGTCTTATCTGTGAATGGCTTAGCGACAGCACAGCCAACTACTTCACCACTAAAGGAGGTCACTTTTATAGCTTCTGTTTCCAGAGAAACTAAGTAATACATCAATTCTCTCATCAAGATCAAGATCTTCATCAGCTTTTGGTAACTAAACTGATGATTCAGCCACTGACTGAATTCACTGAATCTCAATCGTTCATGGACTAGCAAAATGAAAAATGCTTAATAAGCCAGGATGCTAATAAGCTGCTAAATTTTCTGGATTCCTTTCCCAATTGTGTACAATCTGAGTGCACTGAGGTAGCTTCTTTTACTTTCAAAGCACTGAAAGTTACCTTGAACTTTTTGCCTTGAATTTTGAAATTGCACACGATTCAGCTCACTAGATGAAACTGCATGAACTACTTTCCTGTATCATAATGTCCTCATAGCATCCCTCATATAGAAAAAACAATTTAGTCATGGGCATTCTGACAAATGATGGCATTGTCTTTATTTTCATGGTATCTTGCAAAAATCACTGAGATGCAGCACAAACATCTGGTGATCTCTTATGGTGATAACAAGTGTCCGTACATGGGTAGGTAGACCACAAGACTTAAGGACAGAGATAGTGTCTTGCTAAAGTAGCCATTTCTGGTGATATTATAGTGAACTTCTGCCTCAGAGTTGATGGATTTCTCCTTTAATTCAGGCTTAATTTTTGTTTAATGCTAATTCACATTAATTCTCTTCTTATTTTTGGGAGTCTAATTGCTGATTTCTCTCTGGAATGGAGTATCACTCTGATGAAATCTTTAGAGGGATTTTTTTTTTTCTGAAGAGTTGATATCTTAATTATAAACATGGTGAAATAAGTCACTGATACACAGAAATTACTTTCAGTTGCACTTTTCTTAATTTAACTACAAATAAATCCCAAGTTTTATGACATTTCTAAGCTGGTCCTCAGAGAAACTGGCTATACCATGCACAGGCTGCTATGAAAAAGAGTGGTGCTCTGAAAAAGGGAGCACACATCAATTGATTGCTCTCAAAGGAGTGGCACTATGTTTTCCTTTATTAGTTTCTAAATAACTCAACTCCTACTTGTTTTCAGTAATTGATAGCAATTTAAAAAGACTTGCCAAGGAGACAGTTGGAGCAGCAAGCCCATCAGTAGAGGAAGGTCTTAGCATGCACCATCATCTACTGTCGTCCTTCTACTTATCAGTTTGCCAAGTAGCCAGAACAATTGGACAAGAACAAGTGCACTGTTCTCCAGAACCATCTTAGAAGGTGTCAGCCCCCCCAAAAAAGCATTCTGTTGGGCAGAAATGTATAGAGCATTTTAAGTTCCATGATCAGTAAGAGAGGTTAAAAGCCAAGACATTAATATCAGAATCACTACAGAAAAATAAACTAAAATTTGAAAGTTTTTTGCATTCATAAGCAGCCATCTTATTTGTTTTCTGTAACATATATAATCAGATAATTACGTGCTAATAATTTCATTTTGATTTTAGATATTGATTGTGCAAATGTTTATGTATTAGCAAGTGATTAGATTATATGCACAATATGCATATTATAATGCACACTTATCTGAAATTTGAGGCCTTTTACTTTGTATTTAAGTGTTCTAAAGATGCCTGTTTCTTCAAATGATCCTGTGTTGTCTATCTAAGGTGCAAATCTTTACAGTTCATCAGTTGAATCTAACCTTTAATCATTACATCCTGATATTTTTATAAAGCAAAAAGAGGGACAGAAATTTTTATATTGTTAGTTTATAAAATTTAGTACTGCTTTGAACTAATAGTTTAATATAGATCTTGGCTAAATTTTGAAAAGTAGTTTTAATCGATTTAATTACATTTATTACTCTCATTTTTGTCTTAGATGGTGTCTTATTAAGCTTTACAAATAAACAATCGAGGAGTGCAATATCAAGTATAAGCAGATAAAAATTCCAATCAGAAAGGTAAGAAAGGCTTTTCAGAAATATTGTCAAAATATGTGAGACTAACAATTCAGAAACTCAGAAAAAAAATCATCCAGTAAATCTAGAAAGGAAATTTAAATATAGAAGTAGAATAGGCTAAACAATAATAAATAAAGGGTTTTCATGAGGAGTTATTATATTTTATAATTACTATAGTTACGGTAAAATACAAAGGTGAATTTCATAACAAAATTTAGGTTATGATTATATAAGGAGCTTTCTACAGGCAATTTTATACCTCACAAAAGTCAAATATCCTTTTAAATGTCTGACATGAGTGCCTCATGCTGAGTATCAGAGTGGATCACATAAAAACACATCTTTAAAATTTAAGTATGGTAAAACCTTTTATGAATCCATGCTTTTAGTTCTACATACAGACCACTGGCTAAGCTGTAGTTTTTTTTCTTTTAGAATGTTTGCTGGTATTACAATTTATTTTTAAAAGAAATTAAACCATGAAATATATCAGAAAATGTGTAATCACATTTTCTCAGATATCTATGTTCTTTGTTCATTACAAGACTGATGCAATTTCTTTAGCGGTCAGTAGCAAAATTCCCACTGACTGCACAAGGGAAATAAGGAAAGGCTTAATAAGTGGACATAATCTGTTACTCTGTCATGAATGTAGTAGTTATACTTTATTTTAATAGTGTAATTTCTTATTACAAAATGTCATATGGGTTCATTGCATTGGTTTAGTTATTTAATGTATTTGAAAAACTCACAGAACAATTGTAAATGCAAACATATTTACTACCAAAAAGTAAAAGTCCTTAGGATCTGTAAACCCTTGTGTTGTGAAAAAAAATCTCTTCAGCAAAGAACTTCACATCTATGGAGGTAACTACAATTAATTTTATCAAAGTGTTAAGTAGAAAAGAGAGAGAAAGAGAGTGGTACACAAAAACCAGTGATACAATAGACTGCTCAGTTACTTGTTATCCTGAGCTGCTCCTCCAAAGCTGTTTGTTACTAGACTACATCTTATTTTGACATAATCCTCTTAAGAATTGATCTCCCCTTGTAAATGCAGCTCAGTTCAGAATGTAAGCAAATTGGTTTGCAAGGATTGATTGATAAAGGGAAGTAAGCATTCATCACGCACCATAGTTGCCTGTAGTAGAAATGTGAAAGGATGACATTTTCCTCTGTCTGTCGCTTCCTAGAACGGGACAAATATTGGTGTGGTTTAGCAAACGCAAATTGTATTACAGTAGCACCAAAAAAAATAATATTGAAGTTCATTATAGAAATTGGCCCAAAATGAATACTCTGAATTATTAAAAGAATATTACTTAGGTGAACATTATAAAACAGCTTATATATCTTCTTATTCCTGAACAATAGTGAAGCCTCAGAGTCTTTCAGATTAAATACTGCATTTTCTATTAGTCTGGGGAAGTTTTACTTTGAGAGAAAATACCATTTCTTATATAATTTCCCTACTACTTTTGTACTTGACTCTCCAGAAAGTAAAGACTAAATTGAGCTGCAGGTTCACTGTGATGGTTACTATTTGTAATATTCTTATACTGTATAGGAACCTGGTACAATGTGACATTTTTGTTATCTGGTCATATCCTATATGAATATGAAATAATTAGGGTGGGAGAAAAAGTGAAATCAAAATAATAAGTTCAATTATAATACTTGTTTCCGTAAGACACATTTCTTCACATTCCTCCCAGACTTGAAAGCTCATCAGCTGAGAAAGAGTGAAGTAAGAGTGAAGTAAGGCACAACATATCTGGGCATTTTCAGTGTGCAAAGTTGCGGCAAAAGGAAGGCTATAGGTCCAAGCTCAACAGGAGATCAGGTGCTACAGAGCTCAGCATCATCTGGGAACAAGTGACAACTGCTTTCCTGCTGTCACATAATCTGCTTTATTTGAGACAAGAATCCTTATGAGAAGCAGTAAAAGAGGGAGGATTTATGACAGCTTTTCCTACATGCGAGAGTCTCCCTAAAGTAACATCATTTGAACCAGGAAAATCTTCTCACACCAAAAGGTAGGGGCTTTGCATTGCTGTTGAAATCAGTGTTAGGGAAAGGTATCAATCATAGAGCCTCGCGCAGAAAGTCGTGGATCGCATCTCCCAGTAAATTCTGCTGACAAAGGAGGCTGAGGAGTCCTAAGAACTCTGAAAGACTCCCAGGATCTCATTCCTCTTGGCTCACTCACCCTAACTCTTTTTAAAATTGACACCCAAGCACACATTAATACTCCCTCATTTCTGTTCTATAGTGTTGAATTGCAGATTACCTAAATAAAACAAATAGTATGGCTGGACAGTTGAGACACTTGAGCTTTGTGATTGACAAGCTCACTTTAGACACAGCTTTTGCTGCTTACAGAAACCAGATTTTGCTACAAGAAGTAGAAATATTTCATGCACGTAAGACACCATTAATTACAATTGGTAGTTTTTTTCGGTCCTGAATAGTGATGATTTCTGCCCCTGTTGACTCTTGCAGGTTTGCTTGCAAGAAATTCACATTTTCATTAGTAATTCTAGATAAAATCCTTTCCTTAACAAAGGAGTTTTGTGCTCTTTTTAACCAGAAAAAAAAAAAAAAAACAAACAAACCACACAATAGACAAGTTCCTTATTCAAATATACCACCAGCTAGTAGAATCATGCCTCAGAGAGTCTGTAGCAAAGGAACACATAAAACCATGATATACACAAATACAGCAATTTGTACAGATATTTCTTAAGAATACAGTAGATGACAGAGACTGTCACTGAAAATCACAGAGTGAAATATGAACTACACCAAAGTCAGGGATTTTATTGCTATTAAGGTCACTAAATACTACAGTTTTTAATGCTGAGTAAATGAGAGATACAGGCACCACACATCACCTCTTCTTCGCTACAATATCTCTTTGGCTATAGGAATCCCAGTTTTTTGTAGGTTTTTATGTTAGTTTTGACCAAATATTTTGGAATTTGAAGGTAATCACAATGAAAACAACTGCTAGTTTATAAATACAGACTTTGAATGCAACCTAAACCAGAGATATATTACATTATCCATGGTTGACTGACTTGCATGGTACATTGGGCACTGAGTTCTTTTTAAAGCCCTGCGTCACAACTGCCTTGACTGATTGTATCATTTATATCTGCCTATCCAGACTATATGTAAAAGGAATGCTCTTGCTATTATAGAAATACATCAACTTTGCATGGGCAGAAATGACAGGCCTGGAGAATCAGACCTCCTTTCTGAAAAGGAAGGGTTCTAGGAAGCTATCCCATCAAGATTAGAAACGGTAAGGTCAATGCATTCCCTGAGGTTTCTGTAGGTAAAACATAGGTGTTTGTGTCAAAGAGACTGATACTCAAAAATTATTCTTTTTTATATTTTTTTTTTCAGTATGACTCTTAGGCTATCCTCCTAAAAACAAATTTTTCTAATATCAATTTCTCCCAAAATCTGATTTCTGACCATTTTCTGCTGTTATATAACCCAGCAGTACTGAAAAAAGCTTGGTTCTACCATCTTTGGAACTAACTTCCAAGCCATTGACACTGATGCTAAGACATCTCTTAGCCTCCTCTTCCCTCGGACAAAAAAGTGTAGTGTGCTCAGTTTCTCATCCTGAACCTTATGGTTTAGATCTGATCACTTTGATATCTCTCTGCTGGACTCTCCAGTTTTTCAGGCCTTATCTTTCAGCCCTCCTGAGCAAAAGAGCCTTCCATCAGTCTGATAGCCATATTACTGTTGAAGCACCACAGAATGTACTTGCACTTACTGTTGTAAGCAGTTCATCCCATTGACAATGTGTGAACTGTTGGCTTATACTTGGCTTGGTGTCCACTGTGCCTCCCAAGTCCTATTCATCCAATAGTTCCTTAAACTGTATCAAGGCTGTGTTTCTCCTCACTGAAACTAGCGAGTTTTCTCAAGAGTCTTACAGCGCGTTCTTGATAACTGCCAAGGTCTGCCATTTATTGTGCCAGCCATTCTCTCTGATATAATACCATTTCTGAATCCAGCTGAAGGTATTCTCTTTGTCATCATCCAGGCCATTGATGAAGATAGTGTAAAATATGGAGCCTTATCACTGATGGCTGGATGTCCAGCTGTTTTTCAACCTGCTTTCAGCCCAGATGTCCAAGCAATTTAAAATTTATCTCTGTTCACCTCCTCATTTTTCATACTGTGGGATAAAGGGTCAGAAACATTTCTGATATCAAGAAACACCACCATACCCTTGTTCACATACCTAGTCATTACACTG